ACGACAACAAAGCTAAGTCTCAACTATATGGAGTCGGCTACATGCATCTTTGGCCGTCACTGAGATTTGTAAAGTCCCAACAACAACAAAGCTTTTGTTAAAATGTCACCATCTGAGAAATAATACCTGCTTAAGTTGAGGCTGACACATGAAGCATGATATTTGTTAAAATGTCACCTAATTCCTGTTTCTGATCAATGAAATCTTACCTTTTTTTTTTTTGCATAGTATGGTAAATTGAGCTTATGTAGATATGGTTCCTCTTCTGGTGTTGCAGGTTACTGTCATGCCTCTGTGCTCTCAGAACTACAATGAATGTGGCATCAGTGGTCTGCACTTTTAATTGGTATGGCTTTCTTGCTTGTTGTTACTCCAGGTCTGTTACCTTCTTCATTGTTCTCTTATTTGTGCAATGGACTTGGAATTGATTGTGTTTGCTGTTGATGAGTCAAAAATAAAATGTCAATTGAATAAAAAGAGATATGGTCAATATTATGTTCCTTTTAGTTCACATGTTAGTGATCTTTTTTTTTTGTTGTTGTTGAGATTTATACACCAATCCCTCAATTCTTTATGGTTGCATACTTAATGCTTCAGGCAGTCTCCTTACTGATTGAATCTAGGCTATGAAGGTAAAAAACACTTGACAACTAAGTCATCTATTAGCTAAAGCACTGATCAGAGATCTGCTTGTAAGTGGAGATCAAGTTTGCCAATAGCTGTCAAGATCTTAGGAAGTGGGAGTCTGAGCTCTCCAATTTGTTGAGCTTATGACCCAAGGACTGGCCTAGAACAATAAAGAGTTGCAGGAAGTAGTGATGTTTTCTGGCATCAGCGCTTACCTCATTCACCTGTCTTGCTTCAGGAACCTGCAAGCTAGCTAAGCATTTGCTGACTTAGATTGATGAGGGTACAACAATTGTCGAGTCCTTTTCAGTCATAGGCTTGGAAAAGTGACCTCTAAAGACCAGCACCATGGGAGTTCAAATTATGGAGTCCACTGCACTTTGTGCACACCAGGATGTTGATCTTAACAGACCACCAAAGGAAGTCCCCTTGATTAGACTTATCAGGTCCTAATAAAAAAAAGGAAAGTTGATTGCTTTAATGATATAAAAGTCACAGTAGTCCTGCTTCTTGTGCCTATCCTACAATCTTAACTTGCACCAGCACCCATTTTTGGACTGTGGAGAAGATTAACTGACAAATCTAAGGTTTAGCAATCATATTCATGGCAGGAGGTTGTGCTTTGTCTTTCCATTTAAATCACTTTCAGGTTCATCTAACTGTAGGTTCAGATCAGTTGTGAGAAAGTTGTCATCATTCCAAGTGTTCAGCAAAAAACAGAGTCATGAGAAGTCTGTTCTATCCAACACTGAGGTACTCATCATTCCATGTGCTTTAAGGAGTGAGTAATGAGGTAGCTGGTCCACACAATTAATATATATCCCACCAGAAAAAAATAGGTAAGCCTTTGCAGTGGTCCAAAACCTATACCCCAAGAAATCTATGATCATGATGAGAATGCACAGGAGTCATGCAGATTGCAGATGCTGAGATGTTAGAGAAGCCATTAAACTACTTAATGAAGCTCTAAGATCAAATCAATTATGTTGCTCTTCATCTTTTAGCTCCTTGTTGATAGTGATAGCCACATGTGAAGCAGGGTTGCAACTTGATTAGTCTCCTTCAATCCAAACAAGACAAGCAATTCATCAGCTTCAGCCCCCAACCTGCCTTTGACTATATTATCTACTTGCCAACGAGCATGAGGTATTGGATCTCCAAATCTGTGACCATCTACATCACATCTCAATCCTACATTGTCTTGTAGCTGGATAAAATATAGCCAAGACATCATTGTCTTGTGCCTTCACCCCCTGAAACTGTTGTCCCCGCTGTGTGCAAAATCTTCCAACTGCTAATAATGCCCGATCGAGAGATTTGATATGATGGCCTGTGTCCAAATTATTGTTGCAAAGACTCTGCTCCTCTTCCCTGTGTTTTTGTCCGCAGTCATCTGCGATTGTTCCAGGTTGGGTTAATTGTTTTCTGAGATACCTCACCTACTCTTCCCTGTGAAGTGTGTGTGGCCCATCCCATGCTCCGGAAACGAAGATTCAAAGGTATCAGGTAAGACCATCAAGGCACAGATGCACAAAAGCTCAGGGAAATGAATGCTTCCCTTTCGGAAGATGCATAAAAGTCAACAACGTTGATAGCAGACGATTAGACTCGATGAGTCTCCTCCTCTGCTTGTGGACATTTCCAACTCTTCGCCCACATCGTATTCGATGCTTGGCGATGGAGAAGCAGACCCACTCATCACTTGCGTTTGAAGCTGCCTTCCATCGCGGTTTGTGTTGATCACATTTTACGAGTTTCATAACGGAGTACCGTTATATTTCTAACGTAACGCAATCTATAGAAACCGGTATAGAGTACGATGTGTGTGTGTGTGTGTGTGCAGGTTTTTACTAACTATTACTGCGTGAGGGAGACGAAGAAGCAACACAAAAACAAAGAAAAATCCAAATGTACATTCTTGGCACATTGATGATTCCTTTTGATGAATAATAATGGTGATAGTAATCATAGAGCTTGACATGCATCGTCACCGTTGCCACTGCAGCTGTTGCTGACGAGCGGTAAGCTCTTGTTGGCGGGGCCACGGCGAGCCCATGCGGCGTAGGCCCAGTCGCAGGCGTGGAGGACGACGTAGGTGCCGATGCCGCCGATGAGGCCGTAGGCGATGGAGTAGGTGAGGGGCATGAGGAGCATGGTCATGAAGGCCGGGATGGCTTCCTTCATGTCTTCCCACTCGATCTCCACTACGGCCTTCATCATCAGTACCCCAACCAGCACCAGCGGCGGCCCGACCGCCCACGCTGGTATCGACGCCAGCAACGGCGTGAAGAAGAAGGCGAGCAGGAAGTAGCCCGCCACCGTGAGCGCTGTCATCCCTGTTCTGCCCCCCTCCTTGATCCCCGTCGACGACTCGATGAAGGCCGTGACCGGCGACGTACCCAGCAGCGCGCCCACCACGATGGCGGCCGCGTCCGACATGAAGGCGAAGTACTGCCCCTCGAAGTCCCCGTTGGCGTCCACGTAGCCCGCGAAGCGTGCCATGGAGTAGAGCGTGCCCGTGGTGTCGAGCACGTCCACGTAGAGGAAGGTGACGAGCGCCTCCCAGAAGCGGCCGGTGCCGATGCCCTTGAAGCTGAGCGCTCCCGCCGTGGACTTGATGTGGTGGACGTCCACCACCTTCTTGAAGTAGCGGTAGGCGTCTTCCCCGCTGGGGGTGTCTGGGAAGGCGGTGATGGAGGTGTGGCGGAACCAGGAGACGGCGGTGACGAATACGATGCCGTAGATCATGGCGCCCTTGATGTTCTTGATGAGGCAGAAGGCCATGATGAGGAATCCCACGACGGCGAGCCAGAAGGTGGGGGACTCCATGCGGCCGCGCAGGCAGAGGACGTCGCCGGAGACGGTGCCGCCGGGGATCAGGCCCACGGTGCCGTTATCGAAGGTCTGGACGGGGGCGAGGTAGGCGCGGTACTTGCTGGGGCAGGCGGCGAGGGTGACGAGGGTGGAGGAGCTGTAGCCGACGAGACCCACGCCCTCGTTGTTCTGGAGGCCGATGAAGGCGAGGAAGAGACCGATGCCAGCAGAGGAAGAGATTCGGACGGGGCGGGGCACGAGTTTGGCTAGGCGGGCGCGGAGGCCGAGGGCGGATATGAGCAGGAAGAGGAGGCCCTCGAGGAAGACGGCGGCGAGGGCGGTGCGGTAGGGGAGGTTGCCGGAGCCGTGGAAGCCGACCACGGTGTAGGCGAAGTAGGCGTTGGTGCCCATGCCCGGTGCCAGCGCCAGCGGCAGGTTGGCGAAGGCGCCCATTATGAACGAGCCAATGATGGAGGCGGCAGCAGTAGCGACGATGAGGTCACGGCGAGCGCGGTCGACGCAGGCGGCGTAGCCCGGGTCCACCGGCGGGAAGCTGCAGGAGGGGGATGGGCTGAGGCAGTCATGCACGGAGCAGGTGGCGCCGGAGTCCGAGAGGATGGAGGCGTTCACGGCGAGGATGTACGCCATGGTGAGGAAGGTGGCGGTGCCAGCGCGCAACTCGGTGGTGAAGGTCGTGCCACGCTCCGCCAACTTGAACCGCCGGCCCACCCACGACTTGGCCACCGCCGCGTTGAGCATTCCCAGTCGGGGTCCCCTCCCCGCCATTGACGTCGCCGCCACGGTCGTCGGCGACATCTCCGCAGTCGAATCCATCGCCCAAGTGAGACGGTCAGAGAAGTTGGACAGAGTTTACATTAATAACGTCTGTATATATATATATAAGCTCAATACTATTGTGATCCTGAGGGTTACAATAATTGATCGTGGGTCCATAGTCATCACGACCACAAATCTTTCACTTTAGTGCTCCTGTACAATGATATCTCCAAACAATAGGAACACACAAGAGAAATGCCACCTTCTCACGTGCCAATCCTGCTCTCTATTAGTTCCTCCTCTCTTCCCCCGTATTTGTCTCCTTTCTTGGAATCTTTTAGACCTTCTGATTGGAATCGGATGGCGACGAAAGCGTCCCCGGCAACCCACGTCAGCAGGTGACGACACTCCCGGTGTGCCATTACGCAAGGGCCCATCATGGCCGTTCAAAGCGGAACGCACGTCCGTGATCGCAACGATTCCGTCGTGATCGATGATTACTATCAAGTAGCAAACATATTAGCGATCATTGCGTAGTAAAAGGAAGCAACTCAATCGTGTCTATTTAATTAGGGGCAACACAAGTGGTGGTTTAGCTTTAATTTCCATTAAAGAACGGGTAATTTAGCTCGTCAAAGAGAATTTGAATCTGAATCCAACTGAATTGAGCTCGCAGGAGTAATTATGTGCCGATATTCTAAACCATTTCGAATGCGATCGCAAGCTTGGCTTATTACTACTTTAGGCCGGACAAAGCAGGCCGAAGCCCGTAGACCAGAAGCCTGCGCCCGGCCACAGGAACGAAGGCCCCAAGCCTGGCGAGTCGCTGATCGACCGGGGTCAGGCGCCGATCTCCGCGGGGCTTGCGAGCGGGATCGGCACCGCCACGGACGACGATGGTTGTCCGGAGCACGGTTGCGGCGGGGCTGCGCCCACTGGATCGGTGGTTTAATAGTTCTTGAACAATGAATCTCTTTGCTTGCATTGAATTGTTCGAGGTTTATGTTATAGTTTTGAGATTTCTTTTTAGATTTGTGCAACTCCACTTTTGCTTGTGTAGTGCTGGGGGTTCTGGATGTTTCTTGAACTGGGTCGGTGAAGTACTCATCTATTCCAGAATTAATGCTGGATTGTGTGGTTCTTTGTTTAGGTACCGGAGAAAAAGCCCTATCCTTTTCGTGACCTAACGTTTGAGGTAATGTCAATTTCAAGGTTGATTGTCTCATATGGAGGTTGTCATGTTGATGATTGGTTTCATTGGCTTCGAAGAGAGACAGTTATTGAGCCAGTTCAGTAACTTGACATCTGTTCGAAGGCCATACTCTTCACAGCCAGAAGTGGATGTAGGAAGTGATAAGATGGCTTCGTGTGTCTTTTGCTACCAGTATTTAAGTCGTGAAGGGAGGACAGAAGCTAAAATTTGAATTAATATTGGCAGGATCTGACTTCCAAAATTTCACTGTGAATTAACTGCTGTTTTCCAGGATCACATCCTGGAAGTGACCTGCATTGCTTGTTTTATCTAACGAGCGAGGTAATCCATTGGCCTAATGATATGTTCATTAAAAAAAGCAAAGTATCAGCTGATTTTTAGTTCAATCTTCAGTGATTTGATGAACCCTGTGTCTAGTGAAACTTGATTTGTCTGGGAGCATGTAAGATGATGACCTTTATTAGCTACTTGTACCCTGTTTATTGCTGATATTCATATTTTTTTGTCTCTGTTAAGCTGTTAATGCTGTTTTCCGTGGTAGAATATTTCATGAATCAGTCATAACAAGGGAATTTGACTGGTCTTCTATTGCTGATAGAAAGAGAAATGCCCATATTTACCTTACAATTTGCCTCCATCTCCAGGTACCCAGCTGCTGTACTCCAGTGTCAACAGAGAGATGTGGTATGCTTGCAGTCTGATTAGGAGTCAACATGGTTGGTTCTTTAAATCTTCCTTATGGCCTGATTATATTGTTGTAGTCCTGTCACATTATGAATTTTGGTTCCTGCCGCTGTAATAACAAAAAAAACACACTGCTGAACTTGTTTCTGATTCTACTAATTTTGTGTCACAGGGCAGCTTTCGGTTGTGATTCTGTGATTACAGAAGGTCCATTGCCATATTTAAAGGGGCTGATCCACAGTGCGCATGTTGGACAAGGTCCTTGGATGGATTTCTGGAACTCCAAGCTATGTTTCTGAGCTTGAGCAACCAGGCCTTCATTATGAAACCTGGACGAGAGGAGGTCCACAGACTAACAGTACATGGTGAAAAGGATGTGCTCCATGACTTAATAGCGATTGGAACAGGGAACTAGTGCATGGGCATTTCCTTGCATGGCTGGTGACAGAAGTGACTTTCGGACTCTTGCATGATGTAACAGTCTCAGCTCGGCTAAAAGCACACTATTTCTCTGTTATCCAATTTCTGAAGAACAATACTCTCTGTAGGTGAGATATCGCATATTTTGTTCTCTGTCTGCATATATAAATATATTCTTAATACATATGTATTTGTATAAACTAGTACTACTCTTAAGGTTTGATTATTACTAAACAAAATCAATTAATTTTGACCTGTCCACAACATTGGAGAGAGCCTTTTACCACATGTAGGCACCATTTTGCATGACTTTAATATGACTATACTGCAGAAAATATTTCCATTTCATAAATTATATCAATTTTCTCTCTCTATCTCATATTTATTTACCTTTTCTTTTCAGAACATGCAAATATTTCCTGTTCAACATATTATTTGTAAACGAACTCTGCTGGTTTCCCTCCATTTTATTTTCCTGAGTAGAAAGAAGATCAGTATATGACAATTACTTTACTCTCTTCCTTTATATGATGTCTCATGATAAAGGAATCTCTCTATGTCCTTACAATTTACACAGTTAAATTAAAGTTTAGATGATATGGAAGCTTGCATAAGTTTGTCACTCACGTTACTGTGTTTTGACATACTGTTCTGGATTTTATTATTAGCAACTAAACTATCAAATGTCATGTACTGTTTCTTTTGTTAACCCTACGTTTCTATGGATAGTACTTTGCATGCATATGTGAATTCTGAAATTTATCCATGCTCTGAAGAACCATATATATAATTTTACATAGGACATTCTACCTTCAAGCCAGGGCTGTAACAACCCAATTACAGTAGATGAAAGGTTAATAAAAGGTTGCATTGGTAGTCATAAGAAGTCTCCTGCTATATATATCTGTCATTCTGGATCAGAACTCTTGGTGCTAGTCTTGATGGCTTGCAGAACTGCTTGTTTCACCATTTGAGCATCCATCCTTGCCACTTGAATCTGAAAATTTTATGAATCTTGAATGAACATATATTTCTCACTAATGGAAACCCAAATGTGCCATATGTTTCATTTCTTGTTGACATTAGTATCTATGATAATCTTTATTTATTTTTCCAGGTTTGTAGTTAACCGTAAATTATTTTGCTACACTTCACTTCAAGAGAGATGTGTTTGTATGCATAGGGTTTCAATGTCAATGAATATCTAGCATGGACTGAAATCTTTGTCCTCGAACAATATTTCCCTCGAGGCATTTGCATCATGAGGATGCTTAGGTTGCAATCATGTCCACACAATCTATACCTACGAAGGGAAAATGAACTAATCACTAGTTCTAGAGGTCATATTACCAATGGACAACAAACTAGTTTTGCATATCTAGATTTTTCCCGCATGAAGAAGTATTGTTCAAGCAAACAAGCATGTATACTCAAAGATTTTGAGGAATTCATGTTAGGTGCATGTACAATATAAACAATGAGGAAGAATTTTGGAGGTTCATGTCATTGAGGTTGCCAAAAAAAATGCTAGGATACATAGAAACAAGCATGACAAACATATACATGCACAAAACAGATGCATGGAATGGCATGTACACTACTTGAAAATAAAGAATCAAACCCATCAGGGTGAAAGATTTTAACCTCTATATCTCTCTAGAAGATTACTCGTCTTTAGTAACCTAATGTCATGAAATAAGTTATGATATATAAGGTCAACCCAACCCACACTAGGGTTTCTGTAGTGTATTTTGAGTCTGCACAAGATTCTCTAGCTATAACATTATTCAGCATAGTGTTTGTATATCATTTAGTTAGTTGATCAATATATATGAAAATGTTTAGATACGAGAAACTCTTTGGTTTTAGCTTGCCTAGTTAGCTAACTTCAAGTGTATATTTGCAGGTAAATATTGATCTTGCATCTTACATCTCCTCCAACTGCTTCTAGGCGAAATGTATCAGTACAAGTAGCCTTAGCTTGCACGACACTGAGTCCCAGCTTCTCAAAGGCTTCCAAAATGGAGACGAGCAATCCCGGGTAGCTCTTCCCCGAAGAGATATTTATGAGGAACCCCTTCTGTAGGGCTTCAACAGTTACCTGCAGAGATGGACACCAGCTTCAACAATGAGTAAACCAGTCCCCCAAGCAAAGGCAATGATTGGAATCAAATTTACCATAGGTAGTGTGTTGTCGTCGATTCTGTTTTGTGTGCATGCAATCTCTCGATTCAACTTATCGACCTTCTTCTTTAACTCTTCGATGTATTTTGATGCGTCCATTATGATAGATGTCTTGTTTAGCTGCCATGGAAACAAAAAAAGAATGATTCAGGTCATAATTAGTGTGATATTCAGCAATGTAAAACCAGTGTTCTTTAAATTTTCCTTCCATCAAATTCTTGGAAAAGGGAACCATCTCATTCTTCTATATGCCTACATAATGAAAGAAATCCTGTGTATTTGCTTGAACTTTGAACATGTTTTATCAGAGTCAGAGAAATCTTAGAACAAAATTTAATGCGTCTTAGCGACAAAAACTGAACGAAAACAAAAAATCACAAACACACATTCACAACTCGATGGAGATTTTGGATGTGTTATCTGCTCATTCTTCAGGAAATTAAAGAAAAAAAAGGAAAAATCAACTTGTCATGCATGTTTATGGAAGTTGGGAGAACAGAGAACAGATTGTTTCAGAGACAAATGATGAGTGATAGAGCTAATTACTGCATGAGAGTGCGTAATCGATCGAAGGAGTTGCAGCTTCTCATGGAAAGCAGCTCTCTTGTGCTCCCGAGACACCATGACTCTCTCTCTCTCTCTCTCTCTCTCTCTCGCTCGCGCAGAGCTATTGGGGAGGGCTGGTGACTGCTTAAAAAGAGGAAGAAGCGCCCGTATGATCCATCTGCTGATCGCATCCACTGTCATCCTTAGTGTTCTATCAAAATTACCTGACTGCCCCTTGGCGTTTCTGCAGTCACCGGGGCCTCCATTGTTGCCCTGCTAAGAAACCTACAGCTCCATCTACTTAACACTCGCTAATTGATGCAGTATGCCATCTAATCTTCTCGTCGCACTGCTCTCCGTCATATAAAACTGTTTCAGGCAACCATCCAAGGAGATGAGTTTGATCTCACAACGTTCCCGGCCTGTGCTACACAACAAGGGGACGCAATAAGAAAAGGATATGAGTTTGATCTCCCATCCTATCTTGCCTTGGGCTGAGGTCAAGCAAGATATTAGTGCCTCATTCCCCGTCACGCTCGTAGGATTCCTGTCACCACCACCACCTTGTCGTCATGCATCGTTTGCTCGTTCCTATCTTCATTCCTGTGTGATAGATCGTCATCCGATGACTTGACGTGCAATACACGTGCACGGATCTAATGAACAGCCATGTCATGATAATAACCCATCGGTGCAAATTTGTTCACACTGAGTTCCTAATGAATGAAGAGAGAGACAGAGAGAGCGAGAGAGGAATCTGCTCGTGATGGGAGCGACATGGAAAGCAGCGACGGCGTCAAGGGAGAGTTGTTTTCGTGTGGGTGCTACGTGGGATAGAGGGCAAAGGCACAAGGCGTTGAGGAGTTGGGAGTTTGTATTGTTTTGGGGGTGGAGTGAGTTGTGAATGCCTCCAAGTGCTTCTCACGGGGCTTCTCCCCTCGTCACCTCTGTATTCCGTTCTCTCTCTCTCTCTCTCTCTCTCTCTCGGATATCAGTTTCAATTCAGAGCATGTTATACACTTGTAAAGACGTAGAATCATAACCTGAATCAGATTAAGAAATCAGGCATGCACATCAAGGTGATAAAACATGAATGATGACAACAAAGTATCAAAGATCTGAAATGTGAATATGTTGGATGATTTCTCATCTTCTACCTTCACAATAATTATGTGATTAATTTCATTTTTTTACCACCACCAATATGAGAAACAGCATAATCTATCTCAAGCACCCATCATGAGAAATGATTCTTCTGCAGGATTCTCCCAGGAAGCAGCACAAGAATATATGTAGGACACTTTCAGTTGCATTAGCCCTATCCACTAATGTCTTTCTATCATGAAATTATTGACACATATCATTACACTATGTCTCTTCTTGAAGAAATAAATCTTGGGTGCTGCATCCAAATCAATCCATGTGATGTGCAATCATGATGATCCCTCACCTGTCCTCTTATTTTGTATATCCTATTTACTGGGTTGAACTATAATCACCAACCAAAGGTTGAACTATAAGTCCTCAAATGGCTTTGGAAAAACTTGCTGGTTTATGCTTTTGTAAATGGCTTCATCATTCTTCCACCTGCATCTATTTGTCACCTAAAAGAACAGGATTGGGTGGATGTGATAACAAGAGAAAGAAGATGGATACAGAAGAGGTATAATAATGGCACTACCAATAACAACACAAGCGACCACTGTTGTCCTTTTTGTTTTACTTCTCCAACGCAATCATTGTCAAAACCAATTGGCATTTATTGACTCATCTTCCTCGATCATAAACCTAAGAGAACATATATGTGATCTACTGCTGTTCCCATTCACTATCGTCACTTGTTTGGTTGGGTGATTCGTGTCCTTGGGATGCTATTCACTACCCATATATGAGATGAGGTGGGGCTGCTGCCATCTCCGGGAACTCTGGGCATCCATGGGCACAGTATCAAGCTTATCTAACCCTGTTCTAGCTCGGAAAGAGATCCCAACAGTGAGCAGATAAGCAATTCTTTTGAGGGTGATATGCACAGTTGCAGATCATGAGTGAGAGACCAAGGAATCAATCACATGAGAGCCCTGTAGGGTTTCCATGCAGCCTGTTGTCCCTGAAGCATCACTGCCGTGACGCTCACAAGACTCGAACAAGCAGCCTCTCTCTCTCTCTCTCTCTCTCTCCCTGCAATGCTCTCGTGACCTCTGATGAGAGAGGCTTTTGGCTTACTGACCACTCGTGAGTGGTGAGCATCCATTCTCGAAATGGGATCGAGGGGTTTGGCTTGAGCTCGAGATGCGTCCGTGTCCACAAACTCCTCCCACTGCTCTCATGCAAACCTGCGTTGTCTCCACGCTGCATGCATCGACAAAGCACGTACCAGCCTGTTCACATGCATGTATGCACCTCGCTGTCCTCTCCCTCCTCTATGTTCGTCATAACTCAGCCATGTATGTACCCACACACACACACACTCACTCACACCTCACCCTCTCCTCTGCTTTCTGCATGCCTTGTGCGTCGCCTTCCTCTAGTGCTCCAACCCTAAGTGTTAAGGCTTCATCGTTCATCCAGGATTCAGCTTTCCTCACAGTGGAATGAGCTTGTTTCTTTCCCTTTAGATGTGTCCCTCGCTGTATCGTCACAGGCAGAAGTTACTCGCTGGATCTGAAGAGGGTCATGATGCAGAAAACTTGCAGCTGTACATGTCTCGGTCGTATCTATCATTCACAGAGCTACTAACCATATACACTCCCTACTGTTGCAACACGAAACATAATGCGGTGGTTTTTCATGTGAGATTTCTCGATCGCAGCTTATTCCAACATTACTCGACAGCCAATGGATATCCACTATCATTTTGTTGTTCACATGCATCAGATGAAGAGCAAGAAACAATATATACAAAGGAACAGGCCAAAGAGGCCTCACGCGGAGAACATAGCAGTGTTGTCACACCTACCAAAACTTGGCATTAGGTTTTGGCGACTTCCTCTTGCTATCTATCACCACAAGGATGGATGGACGGATAGATACAGCGGTGTGGCATCCAATCTTTGGGAAATAATACAAGCTTGCCGCCTCCATCGACATGACTGCGGCCAAGAAATCTGCTGGCCACCTGTTCGATTCAAGTTGGCAGTGACCGTGCTGTTGTTCCTCTTGTTTTGTTCCTCTGTTTCAACCCCCCGGAGAGATATGTGCATGATATGAGAACCATCTAGTCTTGCATTTGAATCCAAAAGGCGAAAAGAATGAAGAAAGAAAGATGGAAGTCCCAATGCATGAGCTGTGTGCACTGCATGGCAGGATGTCAGGATAAATACAACATTGTCTTTAAGCAATTTGGATGACATAAATCTTTTCTTGAATTGAGATCTCAGAGAAATTCAAGATGCTTCTGATGGCCAGACATAAAGGCAATTTGAGATATTTATTGATGTTTTAGATAATACTACATACGATCATCACATCCAGTCGAGCAACGAATGCTTGGTTAAGGCCAATAAAGGCTCCTATTTCTTATCATCCATCGAAGTGGAATCAACAGAAAGATTTGTGCAACCAAAAAGGAGTTCAAAGCTATTTTGTTTGATTTGACTTTTGTCCTAACATGCGTGAGCATATCGCCGGTGGGAAAGCAGCGCAAGAAAAGGCTTCAACCTCACCGTCATTGTCATATGAATCTTACTGCTGCTGCACCATCCCCATGACCCCAATTCAATTGGGAAAAAGGAGGAGGAGGAAGAAGAGAAAGAAGAAGAAGAAGAAGAAGAAGAGAACGTGTTTGTGCGATACACATACTAAGCTATGTTCTTCTGATTTGTTTTCCTACAGAAAATTAACTCTACACAGTGTGTGACAGCGAGAAGCATGCAAGAAAAGGGAAGAGAGAAGAAGATGG